TCTCTCTCAGAGGAAGTGGGCGTCTCTCTGTGACATTCAGCAGCAGTGTTGCCAATTTGGGGATTTTGTCGCCAAATTTAGCTACTTTCTCATTGTAGCTGCAACTTTTTTTTTTTTTTTTTGGAAAAAGGAGCTTTTTTAGCTATATTTAAATAAAACTAGCGATTTTTTTGGAGAATTTTTATTTTTTACTTGGCCACACCCTGCCGTAGGCCCGTGACCTCTCACGTTTGCTCTCAATCATGCCAATGAGTCTGCGCAGTGAACACACCAGTACGCCACGCCTGCCATGACGCACACCACAATTTCATTATAAGCATCAATCAAGATGGCGGAGAAAAAATATGAGCAGCACTCTAGAAATTGCTGGCTGCAAGAACCTGCATTTAAAGACTGGCTTCAGCCTATTATGGTAAATGCATCAAAAGCTTTTTGCAAATACTGCAAAGTCATACAAAATGCTAAGAATTCAGATCTCATTAAACATTCACTGACCTCCAAGCACATGGCGTGTGCAAAGCCCACACGCCATTTGCATTACCTAGAAATCTCTCTGTTGCGGAAACAGAAGTTTCTTTAGCACTTTACGTTGCTGAACAAGGATCAATCAGCAGTGTTGACCACTTATCAGATTTATGCAAAGCACATTTTAAAGATGCTGCCACCGTCAAATTACACAGGACCAAATGCACTGCCATAATAAAAAATGTGATTGCCCCCCACTTTGTCAGTGAATTTGTGGCAGACATTGGCGAGGGACCCTTCAGTCTTTTAATAGACGAATCAAATGACATTTCTGTATCAAAAATTCTGGGCATTGTGATCCGCTACTCCAGTCTGTCTCAAAACTGTGTTATCAGCCGTTACTTGGCAGCAGTGGAGCTAGAAAACTTCACAGCAGATGGAATCATTAACTCGTTGTCTTAAGTCTTGCCTGTCCTCTCTGGGCCTAGATATAAAGAAGATGTCAGGACTAGGAACTGATAATGCATCAGTAATGCCCAGAATAAATAATGGCGTGTATGCAAAATTGAAGCAAGAAATTCCTCAACTGGTGTTAGTGCGTTGCGTTTGTCACAGTCTAGTTCTAGCTGTTTCTCGCGCTTACGAGAAGACATTGCCGAAGTTTCTGGATTTCTTAGTCAGAGAGACATATAATTGGTTTGCTCACAGTGCCTCAAAGCAAATGACATACAAAGCTGTGTATGCTGCAATTAATGACGGTGAAGAGCCACTCAAAATAGTAAAGGCATGTGCAACAAGATGGATATCCGTGGAACCTGCTGTGCGGAGAATACTAGAACAGTGGCTGGAATTAAAAACGCTCTTTGGAGTAGTACGGGAAACGGAATGCTGTTTTATGGCAGAGGAACTCTACCGTCTCTACTGGGACCCCCAGAGCAGGCCATTTATGCTATACGTCAGGAATACGCTATCAGAAGTACAAGCGGTGAACAAAACTTTTCAGACTAAAACAGCTGACCCGACTCTGCTGAACGATGGACTTGAACGTCTTGTTAGTTCACTTGGCCGAAGTGTGACATCTCCCGACACAAATGTGGACTTTTTAACAGAGCACATTACACCATATCTGGATTTTCATCCACGACTTGGATACGAGGTTGAAAGAGCCATGAGAGAAGAGACGGTGCCAGAAGCAGCAGAAACTGCAATCAGAGAGCGCTGCACAAAATTGACCGTTCTCCTTCTTGAAGAAATAAAACACCGCTTACCGGAGAATTTTGCGATATTAAAGAAAGTCAACACACTATCAGCTCGTCATGCTCCGACTCCCTCAAAACCTTCAATTGTTGAGCTGGCTGAAGCATTTGTGACCTCTGCAGAAGAAATTGGGAAAACTGAGAGACAATGGCAAAACCTTCCCTATGTACACTGGCAAAATGTGGACAATACAGAGAAACTGTGGACTGAAGTGCACATGTACAGAGACGCAGCAGGTGACAGTCCTTTTAAAGAGCTGTGTAACCTAGCTCTGACAATGCTGGCACTCCCATACAGTAATGCAGACGTGGAGAGAGTCTTCAGTCAGTTAAACATTGTGAAAAACAAACTCTGGAATCGTCTATCTCTCGGAACTGTGAGCTCCATCCTTCACATAAGATATGGACTTTTGGCTTGCGGCAAATCTTGTTGGGATTACAGACTTCCACGTGATGTAATCGAGAAGGTTGGGACAATGGCATCATATGAGGAGAAGGATGATCCCAATGAAGATGTTCTTTGCCTGTTTTAGATGAGGTAAACACACATTTACTTTATACCAGGGATGTCAAACTCAGTTCCTGGAGGGCCGCAGCCCTTCAGAGTTCGGCTTATACCATGTAGTTTTCAAATAAGCCTTAATGACTTGATTAGCTGGATCAGATGGTTTAATTAGGGTTGCATCTAAACAGGGCTGTGGCCCTCCAGGAATTGAGTTTGACAGCCCTGCTTTATACTATATATAGATATGCTATGAGGGGGATTTTTTATATATATTTTTTTATATACAAAAATCAAAGAATTTTAAGAAAAATTATATTATATATATAAGCAGCACAACTTTTTTAACAGGTTAACATTTCTATCTCCCTGTTTCTCTTTCTTTCTTTTGGCTCTGTGTGTTTTCTCAGTGGGATGGTTGTGAAGGTTCAGGATAAGTTTTGTGTGTACAGAATGTGAGAAAAACCTAAGGCAGAAAGGATACTACTTCATAGATGATGAACTGTACTGTGAAACCCACGCTCATGCCCAGGCAAAACCACCTGAGAGTCCAGACCTTTGATCTTCTCAGTGATCTTCTGATTGCATCAGGGCACCAACTACTCAGTGCATGAACATCTTGTTTTAACCACGGACACAAAAGTTATACAACAATTCATGCACTGTCATGTCAACCAGATACTGAGAGAGAGACACAGTGCATCATCGTGTCATGTGTGCTGGGATGCAGTATTTTGCTCATACTTTGTAGTAATAGAGTGTGTTGACTGAAATAAGTTTGTATAAATAAAGTTTTTGTTTTTGGAGAATCATAATAGCTCTTATCTGTTGTATTTGAGCAGGTACTTTCCTTTACCTTTACCAAATTTACCTGTATTTACTTTGTTTTCATATTTGGTGACTTTTTGTGAAAAATTGAGACTTTTGAGGGTGGTTCTAGAGATTTTCTGAGGGAGGGGTTTGGCAACACTATTCATCAGTTCATGTTAAACATGTAAAGAAACACTCAGGTTAATCTAATGAATAATTGATTTGTTAAATCAAATGAAAAATGGTGTGTCTGATTGGTCCAGACGCTACAACTGTTACCTTGGCTTTATTAAAAAAAAAAAAGAACTGAATCTACTAACAACAGAGAAGATCACTGAATAAGAGAGAAGAATGAAGATCATCTGGACTTTCACTCTGCTGATGATTTCTGGTAAGACTCTGAACTCACAGTAAATCACTAAAAACAGCACAGAGACTTTCACTTCAGCTCATGTTGTTGAAATGGATTTGAAAAACTTTAAAAGCAAGTCTCATGTAAATATATCAGTTTCCAAGATATCGGCATCGGCTGTCAAAAAAACAATATCGGTCGACCACTAATCTCCACATCAGCACACTCAACACTGACTGTAATTACTGTGGTTCATTATCAATATGAATGTGAATACAAATACAAACCTATTGTAAGATTTGCTGGTTTGTTGTAGGTGTGGTGAACTCCATCAGTGTGACAGGATATTCAGGAGGAGGAGTCAGCATCACATGCAGATATTATGATGGATATACAGCAAATAAAATGTTTTTTTTTTGTTTGTTTTTTTTGTAAAGGACAGCCAGTAACATGCTCTGAACTCATCAAGAATACAAATAAAAATAAAAGGGTTGATTCTGGAAGATTCTCTCTGTTTGACGACACAAGTGCAGCAGTTTTCACTGTGACAATCAGAGATCTGAGTGAAGAGGATTCTGGGACACACCAGTGTGGAGTTGATATCTCTTGGGATAAAAATCCATACACTGAAATGAATCTGAAAATTTTAACAGGTGAGTAACTGAGACCCTCAAAATCATGATGATCTCCACTAGTGGTCGACCGATATCTCGCCAAGGCCGATATTGTCTATTAATGGACATTTAATTTTACAAACCTTGCAAACTTAGTCGAATCTAGTTGAGATCTTGTGAAGTGTGCATGTGTATCCTGCATGATCTCGTGTGCTCTGTGTGACGGTCGGTCTGTGTGAATTGAATGCGGACAGGAGGAGAGTTCAGCCTCACTGGAGATGTGCGATCGACAAAATTTAAACTCGTGATTTCAAATTATGCTGC